CATTTAGCAAATTTCAGACAAAGTGAACCCAAAAGTTCTAAAGGACTTAGATTTTGACTCCCAATTAACGATTTTTTTTTTCTTTCTGATGTGTGGAGGTTATTTGATGCTCTTTTATGGTTTCCTCAGATGCTCAAAACAGCTCCATAAACAGATGCTTATTGCCTTTTTTCTATAAGCAAAAAGACGCCCAGACTAATAAAGACTAGTTTAGTTATTTTCTGTTCGTCGTCTTTTATATTGAGTCCATAGTAAAGGGTGAGAAGACATAGCAGCTATGCTCAGGGCATGCAGAATATGATGGGGCACCATGGGAGGCCACGTCTGTCATGCTGAACCTGACTCCAGGACTTAGTTGACAGGTGCTGTGGTGCAACTACGAAGTCCGTCTGGTCTGGAGAAGGGTGCAGGGAGTGCAACGGTCTGCGTAATGACTGCTTTATGTCTGTTCCAATCTTCCAAGAAAAAAAAAGAATGATGGATAGATGTTCTCTCTAAGAAAAAGCAAATGTTATGTTTGGAGAGGTCTGATTGGAGATTTGCTTAACGTAATGATATTTTTTAATCAGTGATGCACCCTTATTGGTACTTTATCCATTTCTTATTGTTTTCCTAAGTTTGACCTTTTGATTTGAATTTTCTTGCATGTATAGAAACTTGTTTGTGTAAGGTGTATTTAAGAAATCGATGCAACCAGCACTAATCCAAAAAAAACATTTTTGAGGTTGTAGGTTATATCCCCTGAATGGTTGTTTGTCCTGTTTGTCTCTGTGTTGCCCTGCGATGGACTGACGACCTGTCCAGGGTGTACGCCGCCTCTCGCCTGTAGACAGCTGGGGATAAGCACCAGTAACCCCGCTTGGGATAAGCATGATGGAAAATGGATGTATGGATAGTTTATATCCCGTAAAAAGGAAATTAATTAAAGGGTCATTTCCATTTATTCAAATGCATGTTTTTACTAAAGTTAGATCAAACTGCATCACACACACGGATGCTGAGAAAGTCTGTGTTTTAGGTTTTTTTGTACTCAATGAACAGAGGGGAAAAACATCTGCTCATTGCTCTTGTACCTATTAGACTTTACTGTTACTTGTCATTTAATAAATTGGCTGATCTTAATTGTTGGCAGGGCTGGGCGATAATTCAATAACAATATATATCGATCGATAGACGTGTGGCGCAATAGAAAAAAAGAGAGTCGATAAAAGTTCGATAAAAAAGAAACGCCGTTTTCCTTCCTTCTCATTGTAGCCTAGCATGTAGGTTCATGCTAGTCACTGCTTCCTCCCAACCAATCACAATCGCGGACCCAGGCACGCCGTCACAAAGCGCCGCCCTCTCAAACCACAACACAGAGCACATTTATTTGTTATATTTATTTTGGTCACTTTTCTGGTCACTTTAGTTTATTCTTTGTCAGTATTTAATAACATAACTCAGGTCTCTTAAGTTATTTTTCTTTAAAACAGTTCTGTTATGGTTAAAAAAGTTGGTTAAATAAAGATTTAATTTATTAATTAATTAATCTGTGTTTGTATTCTTTATTAAAAATTAAATCATTTAGCAATATTATAAAAAGTCCAGGCAGAGCTGCACATAAAATATGTTTTCAAATCTTTTCAATAATTATCGATATCGATCAATATGCATTTTTTTTTAATCGATAAGCTTTTTTTCTATATCGCCCAGCCCTAATTGTTGGTCAACTGCATCACTTATTATAGACTTTGGAAGGCTTAAAATCTTAATTACTGCACTCATGTTTTTTATGCGGTCCGGGAAAAGGATGGATTATTATAAAGTAATTTACAGCTTTAGAAAATTTGTGGGGTAAAAATAAATACAGAAAAACTATCTGAATTTCTTTAATTTTGTTTCTATCCCAGTCTAAAACAGTTTAATCTATTCATTGACCCATCTATCTCCCAATTCATCCATACTCTGGACAGTATTAAAAATATATATATATCGACTAAATGTGATCAAAATCTCTATACTTTGATCTGGACAATTAGAGAAACTTAATTAGGTTATTGACCTGAGCTTTACTGCATGAGTTCTTTACCAAGCTTACTGTCGTCATTGTTGTGGTGAGAACGCTCAATGAACAGGTACAAACTGGGAAATATAGTTATAAAGAAGGTTGCAAAACCAATACAAAGAAAGGGGGAAAACAGACAATTATTCTGACTTTGCCAAGCAGCCCACTGAACTTACCTTCACCCCGACTCAGGATTTCATTAACACAGTGCCAGACTGGTGTCCGTGTCGAGCTTAAATTTCAGCTCCACTCATAAACAGCCTGCTATATTAACTTGTTTAGTGACAGCTGCCTGTGGTCTGCATCATGCCTTTGTGTAAGTGTTTGTCCGTCTATGTGCTGGTAAATCTGCTTAGTTGACTGCCTTAATTACTCGATTTTTACCCAAACCAAAATCCTCTGTATTCTTTATTAATAAGCTGATCTCTTTTACCCTTACACAACTGAATCTCATCTCTGAAAGGCACAGGTCAGCTCCCCTTAAAGTTTTACTAGAAAGCTGCTCTGCTTAAGAAAGTCCTAACATTTGTCTATTGAGGCTTTTTTTTTGTCATTTCCTGTAAGTTCAAGTTTCAATCACTGAGTACCCAACTTAATACTCTTTAAACATTCCTGTTAATAATTCTTTACAAATGAATGGGTGATAAAAAAGAGGGTAGAGAATGGAGCCAAGGACAGGCAGCAGGGTATCTTCTTTTAGGATTTTTAACATTGCTGAGATCAGATTAGCTGGGGCGCTTTTTGAATGTCCAGCTAAAGCGTTTCTAACATGTAACATTGTTGGCAATACTGCTACTGTATACTGTAAATGTAGGCAGCTGATGCACAGCAATGCGTGACAATAAGGCACCCATACCCTTTGTAGGCTATGAGAGGCGCTTGTTCCTTGGTAAAATCATAAGATGGTAACAGGAGATATGAGCTATACTGGTTTGAGATATATATTTTTTTATGTGGAATGTCCTCTGCCTAATCCTCTGTTGACAGATAGGGTTATACAGCATCAGATGCACTTTCTCATTCTCCAGCCATCACACAGTCATGCAGTAAAAATGGATGATAGATTTATTGCACGGTTTCCGCTCTAACAGTATATTCTTACTAAATTATCTGTTTATTAATCCTCTGTCCTTAGATCAGGGTAACAACTAGACCACTGACACTTCTTGAATCACATCTACCTATTTTAAAGCTCTTCCTCTGGATTGTTGCGAATACTTCCTTTTAACCCCAGTTTCTAATTGCATTCCACCCCACGGGGCAAAGCTTCTCCCAAGTATTTCGCTCACACACACGTTTTTCCTTTCCAGTTTAGAGTTACACGCTTTTCTGGTCCTGATAACTGCATCACATATGTGGTGGGCTCAGAGCATTTAAGAGTAAGCATGTGGGTGTTTGAGCACTGTTGACTCTGGTTGTTATGGCAGCTTAACTGAGGGGAAGTCCAGAAAGTCTGCAGTGAGATGTTATTGCAGGGTCTGCACAGCTGGGTGACCAAACTGGCTGACTAAACAGTAAGGTCAACACTTCAGTTCGTTTTGGTGACAGGTTTACCCCTGTTCAAATGTCTGACTAAATACTATGATAAAATGGTATTCACTTCCACTAGTCCAGCCATGCAGATTCTAAAAATGACTGCATTTAAAGCGGGAATATTTTTGAATTAATTAAATGAAAAAGACTCTTGATTGAATTAGTTTTATCCCTAAGCTCTTTATTATTTAATTTGTAGTTTGCAGAATAGAATGGAAATTGTTTAGGTTATAAAGCTAAATATGTAATGCAAAATATTTATTTCTGATACTTCTTACATACTATTTAAATAGATGTACATTACCAAAGAAATAATGACAAACATATTCATTCATTTGTAGCATGTGTCATACTATTTTTATATAGCCATAAACATTAGCCAAAAGTCTATCTGAATACATATGTGGCTTTTTAATGTAAATAGAATTGTTTGAGTACCATCAATAATTTTACCTTAAATGTTTTATTTGATTATATCAGTCAAAAAATGTTTATGCTATTTGCATACAAAAGCTACACCTTTATTATTATTATTATTTTGTGCGTCATCTTTTGTTTCGAGTCCATAGAAATGGTGGGAAGACATAGCAGCTGTGCTAAAACCATGTGGAATAAGATGGGGGTGTTTGCAGCTACTCTAATAAAACACTATCAATTATGCACCACTTTCCTATAAGCTCATCTGGTTTAAATTATAATTATAGTATATAATAGTATAAATATCCCTGCTTTTATACAGCTAATTCAACTAATGAGAACCCCCCCCCCCCCTTTTTGTGGAGCTTGCTAAATTGAGATCGGTGGGTATATGAGTGACTGTTGTCAAAACTGACCATTAACACATGGTTTCTTTGTCGTGCCGACTTGTGGTCACGTAGTTTGTCTTTGCTGCTGCTTTAGGTTTGTCCTTCTGCACACCACTCGCCAGCTACACAACTGTTAATTTGTCACACTTGTAGCGGACGTGTCTAACATTAAACCGTGGAACAGAGAGAACAGGCTGAGCCACTTTCTTGTTATGTGTTGAGATATTGTTTTATCCTCGCTCACTACTAGACAATGAAAATATTTGTGGGCTTCTATTGCTGTGAAATTAATGCTAAGGTAGATCACATACCATTCACTTAGTCAGGGTTTTTGTCTTTTTTTTTGTTGTTCAACAGATTATCTTTGAAAGTTTAATCCAACTGATTCCATCCTGAAAAGGCATTGCATAATATTTATATTAACCTCATTGTTTATGGTCAGTTAGTTTCACTCAGGCCTCAAATATGCCATACCTGTACGCTCAAGTAATTTAGCTCAACATGAATTTGGGTAAATAATTTAAATGAGAAACAACTTGATATTATATAAATGTGCGTGAAAGTGTGAGAAATAACTTAGACAGGGCTACAAAGCCAACCCTAAGTCTAGGGGAACTTCCTTAACCACAAATAGAAAAAATGTGGAACAGTGACAAACCGTCCTTTGAATGTCTGGCATACCAGTATTTCTTAATATAAACCCAAGCAGTATGGTACTTTAGGCTTCTAGTTTTGTCCAATATAAGGAAATATTCTTGGACTTCTGAGTCAAAAGTGGTTTATTCTTTTAGAAAGTGTTTGCCTCATTACATCTGGTGAAAACTAGCACATGTTGAAACAGGAATATCCTACCAAGAGTCAAACGTAGAGGTGGTTTTGATATGGGGCTGCTTTGTTGTAAGAGGACCCAGATACTGAGCTGTAATTTATAGAGCCATGAAATCTGCAATATAACAAAAATCCTGTGAGAGAATATTCCATTAACATTTTTTCATTTTCCTTAAGTGAGTTAGAGGACAAGGATTCTGATCACTTCAGGAAGTCATTTTAGGAATGGCTCAGAGTCAGAAAATACCTGATCAATATGGTGTGCCACGACCTTAAAAAAAGGCAGTTTATACTCCAGAGAACTCCAATGTTGCAGAATATAAACATTTCTACAAAAAGAGACGAAAAGAAATCCCTGATAGTAATGTAAACTACTAATTGCTTGTTTGGTGGGAACTGTGGTTGGTGTTAGGGCTGCAACTGATCATTTTGCTAATCGGTTATTTGGATAATTTTTCTATCTGATTAATAATCGCCTAGCAAATGGTTCAAGATTTTTTACAAAATTCAAGTCAGGTGAAACAAAAACTTTCCCAGTTAAAGAGATCTGGAAAGGGCATATTGATGGATGATAAAATATATGTATTTTTTTATCTTAAATGTAAAATTTACAATGTTGGTATAATTACTGCCCTTAGTGGGTCACTATGTCAGCTTAAGGTATGGTTTAGAGTCTCTTTACTCCAGTTAATGATTAATCTATTACTAAATTAGTTGATGATTATTTCAATCAATCATGATCAATAATTTCAGCCCTAATTAGTAGAACCAGTGATTAGGTTTAGGGAACAGTTGAGGTTTACACATTTAGCAAAGCTGGTTTGGAAAACTTCATACCCTTATTTTCCCTTTTTTACTAAAAATCAATTCTTTCTTTTTTTGTCATTGTTGCCATGGCAGCTGAGAATTACCGTCTGGTCCCTCTGCACGAAAGCTGTGTCTTACATCAAGTATCCCAAAGCATGTCAGAAGGGTGAGTATAGGAGTGGTATTATGAATGTTTACAGTATGTACTACTAGAGTACCTGAGGACAGGGTCAGCTGAGTGCCTTGACATACCTCATTAATCACTTTCTGCTCTTTACCTTGTGGTAAAACCCAGGATGTAGCCAAAGTGAGGCCGTCACTGGTGACAGCTGTGCACCCTCTTCAGTAAATGGGGCATGCTTTTCATAACGGGCCTGTCAGCAACTACTGGATATATGATTGTCCTGGTCTCTACTCATTTTCCACATGCAACACTATGCCCCTTTACAATCCGTTTATCTCCAGCACTGTCATATAAACGATTCAGCCACAGGAGTTGCATGCCACAGACTTGACGGTGCCAAGGAATCAAATAATTACATTGCATAACACAGAATTCCATTAAGTTATATATAAAATAAGTTAAAACCATTGTCATATTACCTGTTTTAATTAAATTGAGAAAAAATACTTTAGCACTGTCTTAACTTCAAATAATGTTGTTTTAGCTATGATATTTGAAAATATTAAGCATTTGTATAATTAGATGTACCGGTACTGTGTTTTTTTTTTCTGTAAGCTGCAGTACGATGGAACAAAACTAGTAAACTGTAGCTGTGTTAGTGAATGGTCTTTCTAACATCTTCAGCACAAACATTTTTGGGGGGGGTTGGCTTTAAATCAGAACATTCCAAGGCCCCCTCTCCCTCCTCATGCACTTTTTCACCACATTAAGGTTTAAAAATAATTTTATTTCCAGGCAGGACAGCTATGCTGGTAATGTTTTCACTTTGTGACCTGTGCATTGCAGCTTGGGGTGTGCCTCTGGCTGTGAAACACAGCAGCTCCACAGGCAGCAAAGAGAGTTATAGAATCAAACTTGGTCTTGACCTGCTAAGGTTGGTAGACAGGAACAAAACAGAAACACTCTTGGATATGAGCTGCTGTGAAGGGAAAGATATAATCTCCACTGGAACAAAACAATATAAATTTATCAATAATTTAGTTGGAAACAGTTTAAACAGAAAGGCTCCAGCATCTTGTCTAGCAGCGCCTTAACTGAGAACCACTTGAAAAGAGAGACTTTTGTCATCCCAAAGAAGTCTTTTAAGTGTTTAATGACTTCAGCAAATGTTGAATATTTAATTAAGACTTGGACTAGGCTTTCCTCTATAGATTTAAGACAATAAACCCTATTTGAGCCTATCTGTCCTTGTTGTTTTCAAATCTACAGGTATTGACTTCAGCACAGATGGATCCTACATGGCCTTAGCTGAACGCCGTGATTGTAAAGATTGTATAAGCATATTTGTATGTGATGACTGGCATTTACTCAGGGTAAGTAGGACACAGCTTCTTTATATACTGTAGCTTTTAGTGATTGGATTTAATAGATTTATACAGAACCAAGAATTTATATTCTTAGGCTAAATTACAATGATAGCTGATCCTCAAAACTTACAAAACACATTTGTATTTTTTGTTTTATACCACACAATATTTTGGCTTCCTCTCAAGCTGGACTATTTACTTTCTTTTTAAAATCGAATGTATACTATTATTTAACAGTTGAATATTATAGTTTTTATTATAAAAGAAAAGTCTTGATAAATAAAGTATTCATTTGAGCTGGTGAGTCTAAATGTCTGTGCATTTGTTTGTGTAAATGTTTCCATCTACCCCAACCATGAAGTTGTGTCCCCTGCTTTAATGAGTAGAAACTTGCTCCACTCTTGCATAATGTACACTTTACAACTGTGCTTGAGAAAATGGCCAGAACCAGCAACTACACCTAGATTTAGTCATCAGAGTTAAAATTCATTGAAAGTCCCACCAAGTGTAAACAGGCAAAAGATGGTAAAACAATGTGAAAGGAGTATAATTGTTATTTTTTTTCCTATAAACCTATATAAAAAGGTTGGCAACAATTACTTAAAGTCTTATTAAAAAACAGTGGGATTTTATTTGCATGACAGTACTTAAATCTTTCTAATATTTTTTGACCAGCTTTTTGGATGCTTCCAATGCTCTTCTAGCATTTCTTTGTTAATTAGCTCCTAGTGCTAATCTTTAGCTTCTACCACAGATCATCTATCACATCAGGTTTGGACTCTTAGTTGGCTACTTTAAAATGTCCATTTTACTTAAAATCAGAAAAATCTTTTTGGTAAATAACTATTTCCTTAATGTGCCAAACATGAATATTTTTTACCCTAACTGTATAATTATTAAGCTGTTTAATATTGAAAACAATAAATGACTTATTTCTGGACAGACAATGTTATATGGTATATAGAGGGACACATCAAAATTCACATCCATTAAACATGTCATTTATTTTCCACTTATTTTACAGCATTTTGAGACAGAAACACAAGACCTTGCTGGATTGGAGTGGTCTCCTAATGGCTGTGTGCTGGCAGTGTGGGACAGCTGTCTAGAGGTCTGCATTTTCCTTTGTTGAGTGAATATATAGCAACTGAAACATAGTGACTGTAATGATAGATGAATATAAGCATTGCTTCCTTCTAGAGATGCTCTGATACCTGGTTTACATATCTGTTCCAATTTTAACTAATTAACTGGATCGGATATCTTTGATTTGATATCGGATATCAAATCCAGTGTACTTTACATGGAACTGTTATTTCTTTATTTTTGCTGCTTATTTGCTAATAAATAATATATAGTTTATTTTTATATGTGTTATATTGTTACCTTTTTATACTTTGTTTATGTCAGGGCTAAAGCCTTCCATCATATGGCAAGATATATAAGATGGTTCATTTGTTCCACAGTTGAATGAGATCGGTATCAGATATCGGTCGATAGGCTCAGCTCAGGTATCGGCATCGGATTGGTGAAAACAGGATCGCTGCATCTCTACTTCATTCGGTCTATTTCAACAGTGAAAACTTAGCTAAATGTTTTGTTAATCTGCTGAATGCCCACTTCTCTGTCTACATTTGTGTCGAACAAACATTTATTGAAACAAGAACCTTAACACACATCAGCAAGTTGACTTGCAGACCTTATTCAGCCTGTTTTCAGCTTGGTCAATACTGTGGGCACCTTATTTGTTGAAAAGGAACATAATAGTGTGTTTGAGATGTTAGCAGCTTTTATTGTAGAAAATTAATTACTATGTTTATTTAAAAATTGATATTTGATCAAATACTCAAATGTATCAGTCAATGGCAGCTATAGTGGTGATGCTGTAAGTATGTTATTAAAATCCGTGGCCAGTACAATTCACTGTGTGATGACTCACTAAACATCGATTTTCATTTTTAAATATTCTCAAATGTTAAGGAATCAACTGATACGTCAGGAGGTTTAATGTGCAGCCATTTCTTTCTTTGCAAATGTTGAAACAGGCTAAGGTTGCAACAAATGATTGTCTAATCAATTTAAATATATATATATATTTTTTTAGCTAACTGATTAATTCAAATATTTTTTGTTAATCTTAAATGTGAAATGTATGTATTTTCTGTGAAATTGAGGTTTAATAACAGTTCTCTATATTTCAGTTAAAGATTATTTGATCACTTAATTAACAATTATTTCAATAATACATTAAACCCTATTAATCTAATTGTTTTAGCCCTAAAAGAGTAAAAAAATACTTCAAATGTGACCTTAAGCCTTATCTGTAGAAAGAGGTACTTTTTGAAGTAACTATATTTAATAAACATGTTTCTTTTCTGCAGTATAAGGTCTTGCTATATTCCTTGGATGGCCGATTGCTGTCGACCTACAGTGCCTATGAGTGGTCCCTGGGTGTGAAGTCCGTGTCCTGGAGCCCCAGCAGCCAGTTCTTGGCCATTGGCAGTTATGATGAGAAAGTATAGACAATTTTTTTTTAGGAAGTCTTTGATTTTTTATGTGCACCAATTTCCATATCTGTAGATTTTGAGAGACTCTATTTTTATTTGTCAGGTGCGCATCCTCAATCATATCACCTGGAAGAAAATTGTGCAGTTTGAACACCCAGCAGTCATTGAAAATACAAAAGCGGTGAGTATATTTCAGTTCTCATGATGAACCTAGAATGTATCTTACTCCTTTTTGTATATTGAAACATATTTTTACATCCTGTCTCCTTAGACTGTGTACAAGGAAGTGGAGAAAAGGCCAGCTGAGGTCCGCGATGAGTTCTCGCTACACAATGTAACAATGGACTCCACACTTTTCAGCACTCAGAGCAAATGTAAGTCAAGGAATTGGTTTAAAGGAAAATATTTAAGGTTGCAATCAAGAATCCTGCTTGGGTTGGTTTCCCCCTAAAGTCTGTTTACAAAGTATGTTTTTGCCTCATCCAGATGAGATCTGCTCTCTGCCTGTCCAAATTCCTGCTGTCAAGCCAGACCCAGACAGAGCCAATCCCAAAATAGGTGTGTCTGTTCTGGCGTTCAGCTCAGACAGTCGCTATCTTGCCACCAAAAATGGTAGGTATTGATGCTTTTTTTACATAATGGTGACCCCAGTAAACTGTTAAATCCATTTAGAGCTTCTACATTTATCAGTCCTGTAACCTTTGGTATTTACCAGTTTTTCATCCTTATGATATTTTAAAACAGATACAGACAGAGTGGCTGTGAGGTTTTATAAGCATTTCTGTATCTGCAGACAACATGCCCACTGCTATTTGGGTGTGGGACATGCAGAAGATGAGCCTGGAGGCTGTGCTGGAGCACACATTATCTGTACGCTGTTTTCTGTGGGACCCCTGTCGCCCTCGACTGGCCCTGTGTACCGGAAACAGCAAACTTTATCTATGGTCCCCTGGAGGCTGTGTTTCTGTCCAAGTTCCTGTTGAAGGTATCATGCTTCACCACTTACAATTAGAAATATCAGTTTATCTGTTAAGGCATAAAAAGTTATTGGTTTTAGCTTTGTGCTATTATTAGCATATTGCATGTAGGTTACACCACTTCCTCTAGATGCTGTGGTGGCATGCATGCAATAATAACTCTGCAAATACAATATTCTTTGGTCTTATCTCTTTGATGTCTCATGTCTTTATTCTGCCCTCCACTGAGATAATTTAATTTCTCCTCAAACATCATACAATGTACGTATTTAGTGATCAGTTTGCCCCTTCTTTTTCTTTTTTTTTTTTTACAGGTGATTTCCAAGTCCAGTCCCTAAAGTGGCACTGCAATGGAGACTCTGTGATCCTGCTTGGGAAAGAGCAGCTTTGTTTGTGCTATATGGACACTGAGCAGGAAGAAAAGTTAAACTCGTGATAGTTAGTACAGCTCTAGTTATGTACTTGAAGACCACTGAAAACACTCCTGAAGCATTAGCTTTTCAGCACTGTGAAAAATCGGTTGAGTTTTAGCCTTAAAGCATTTGTGTCCTGAAGTTTCTCTGAAAGTTTGTAGTTAACTCAATAAAGCATTTTTTTAAATCATTTCAATCTGCTCTATTGTTTATTAATTATTACTATACTATGCTGTTCAATACTATAAAAACTATGAAGGGATAAAAAGAAGACAAACCACGTCTTCAAACACCAATGAGGAACAAAAGAAGCTCTCCTTACAAAAACAGGAAGGGCTTTATTTTTTTTTCTTCCACTTTTGATGCTGAGCTGGAAACATTGATCAGAACCTCAAAACATTTTAATTAAGACAATAGTTTTTTAAAAACAAAACACTGCTTCAACTCGCATTCATAAGACATTATGTTGTATTCACTTACATACATTAATTTTAATAAAAAAATGCTGATAAATATTTATTTACAACTACACATATGGTACTGTTTAGCAAACAAAGGTTAGTCGTGCAAACTCGGCGTGCAACAACCATGCACAAGGACAAAAGACTGTGCTGTGAGACACCTGTTTAGCTTTGCTCAAAATGGCCACATTAACTAAAAAAGATTTGGATGAAGGCGAACATGGATCCTCATTCATCCAGGCACATCTGAGGAATTCTCATTTGGAATAAAGTCTGGATTATTTCTATGACTAATTAAGTGAGAACATTATAATATATATACTCCCTGGAACATTTATTTATCTGGGAATACAAAGTACAAATCTAGGTATTTAGGACCTTGTGGAGGGCAACTGATTTCTTTTTGTCCCTGAGCGTTCTTTAGTGCCAATCACTCTGAAACAACATACATCTGACCATGTGAAGTTTTTCTATTGCCCCACAACAAATGCAGATTTGTTTCACTGTCAAACCACCTTCAAGTTTTATCAACTAATCTTAAATTAGTTTTAGATACAAATCTTATTTTTTATGCAATCTACAGATAATTGATTTTTTTAAACAAAATATAGTGGTCATGTGGAAAAGATGTCACTCAAACACATTATCACCAATTAAATGCCAGCCTTTTCCAGCAAATTGCTTCCAGTAAACCACGTTTTCTTTAAAAAAGTGGGACCACGACGTTTGTGGTCTCTGTTTTCTTCTGTCTAGTAGTAGCCATTTCCTGCAGGATCATTTTGTGAGGCGGATCCTTTGAATTATGCTAGATGTTAACAATTATTTAAACTACTCTGCCTAACACAATGACACCAGGTTTTGGTCATTTTGATTTAATTTCCAATTGGTTTGAAAAGAAAAAGGTAAATGATTGAAATACAATAATTGAAGAAAATTCATCTAAAATAATGGGAAACATTTTCATGTATTAAATACCTTTTTCATTGTGAAAGGCATATTTATTTTTAACAGGATTAATCAGTTTGCTTTAAAGGCTGACATTTCTTTTTTCTCTCCAGTTTTTTATTTGTTCTTCTCATTCAAGCACACTATTCTAAATTATGGCAAACTGTCTTTGATAATAACTGTAGGATTAACATTATAAACTAAAAGGTTTTCTTTGGCCTTTTTTAATACCTGAATCAAAAGCATAAGTTGACAAATTGTCTTTCATCACAAAAAGCAAATAGCTAAATAGTTCGTTGTGTAAAGATGGATACAAATTCCTTTTTAATCAAGAAGAATTAATCATATCAATACTAAATTGGCCAAAAACTGCAACTCATCCATAAAGTCCTTCAGACCTATTGCTAAAACATCCTTTAGGAGGTAATATGGCTTACTGGAAGCAAAATATAAAGAAATAAGATCAAAACTCCTGCATAGACCTGGTTACAAATCGCTTCCTCCTACTCCGAAAAATAAATACAATAAATTACAATAAGGTTACACATGTGTTACAAGGCCAAATATGTCATTTCTACTGTGCATTTGTTGTTAATTCCATTTTTAGTCTTCTCTATGTAAACATGTGACATTAGGGTTAAATTCCTCTTATTTATAATAATGCAATAACAAAACCATTCAGTTTCAACTATGTAATAAACCAACTGAAACATTTTGTTTAACATGGCTTCCTGCTGTTGCTTAAGGTTTAAACAAATCTAATCTCTTATCTAAATGCAATCAATCAAAATCAAAATATTGTGTAAGCTTGGAGTTGACTAAATGTAAAGGGAGCGTAGTAGTTTTCTAAGTTATGTTATTTAAAGCATATGCTGTAGAAGGTGGATATGCAAAAGACGTGTGCAGGTTTCTGATGGGAAGCAGAAAACAGGAATCGTTGCAGAGCTTCCTGTGTTTTACCTTCTGCAGGTCGACCACTTGTCTTCAAACCAAATTAATGGACGTTTGGACATGTCATGGGCTCGACTCAAACACAAACACACACTCACAGTCAAGCTGCACATTGTACTGGAGCTTCCCTCAGACAGTACAAGGTAATCAAGATACATACACAGGCTCCTCCCTGGAAATTTTCTAGAAGCCTATTTTGCCTCGCGTCATGGAATAGCCAAGCTTCGCCTCGTTGTTGATGAAAGACATAATACCCAGATAGGTCTCGATGAGGAGGGGTCTTTCCAAGATCAGCACGCCGTTAGCCCGTCCGGGGATGGGGTGCTCCTTATGGGCCTTCTTCACTGCCTGTACCAGCTGGGTTTTGAAGTTGTCCAACTTAGGAAGGGACACAAAGCATTAAAACAGGAACATCACCAAATGTAAACTTTTCTATATACGCTACAGTATATATCCTTATAAAATTTTAAATACAGGAAAGGTTAATAACTTTTATTAAATCCTAATGGCCATATGAGCTCCATTTATTGCAAATACGATTATAGATGCAGAAAATCCCCCTAAGAAGCACTGCTTGCTTCCCAGTAATAAAAGAAAAACAACTTTGAGTTGAGCTGTTTATGCAGATTAAGATTGTATGAATTAGCCCATTGTTAAGGAGAATCACTCCTACCACTGTGTGACCATGGAGCTGCTGTTGCTGCTCCTTCTGCCTCAAACAATTGCTAGATTCTGATGACTGCATGGTGTGTTAGATTACATTTCAGGCTTCCTGTGCTGACATGTTTACTAAAGTGAAAAAGGGGATGTGCTCATTAGAAAAACATTTGTCATCCAACTTGGTGAAATGGATTATACCTGGCAGAGGGAAGCCACTTTCTCATCAGCGTGGGCCATGGGGTGCTCTGTGAAGGTGGAGTAGGGCATGTCTGTGGACCACGGGTTCCAGCGGTTTAAGAACGAAGCCCGAGGACGTTTGTCCCACTGAACACGAATCCCATAGCCCTCTCTTCTACAAAACAAGATCAACATTCATTTCTTACTAAAAATTGCAGCATCTACATGTTCCGTTTCCCCTTTCTCTACAAATACACATTATTTTCTAAAAGCATTTAATGCTTGAGATAATCTGAGCCACAACACTATAAGATAAAAGATTACCAAAACTGTTGATGTTATCAGATTGCATACTTCTGCTTGGAAAACACAGATGTCACTGAGTGTTACTAGAAGGCTTAACACATAGATTATCTAGGACCTAGTGCCTGACATGGCATGGCTACTGTATACTTTTACGGTATTTAAATGTGTGGCTAATAAAAGAAATCTAATACATCATCACACATTTCTAACATTATGTTTCACAGCTCATGTTTAATGCTGCCAACTTGTAGCAGAAACAACCAGAGCAGAAATCCCAGATCTAAACAGATCCTAAAACTAACATCTCAGGCTCATTTTTGTCTTTCCTCCAACATGTTGACAGGTCAGTGTACTGTAATGAGTAATAATAATTTCAGAAGACAAAATATGTTGTTGGGAGTGAGCGACTCATCTAATTCTATGTACAGTAAATAATGTCATGCTGTAAAGATGAATAAAAATGACCTACTTGTTGAGAGATTTTGGTGGGAATTCAAATTCACCCACAGAGATGGTGTCTACGGCGTTCAGAGATATCCTGACCACTTGCTGACACAGCAGATTAATGAAGTCATACTTGCACACCAGCAAAGACCTGCAAACAGAAAATTTTCCGTATCAACACCCTAAAACAGGCATCCCCAAAGTCGGTCCTCGAGGGCCGCTGTCCTGCAGGTTTTAGAGGTTTCTTTGCTCCAGCACAGCTGATTTTAATTGAAAGCTCATTAACAGGCTTTTGCTCATCTGCAATCATCATAATCAGCTGTGCTAAAGCAGGGAAACCTCTAAAACCTGCAGGACATCGGAGCTCGAGGACCGACTTTGGGGATGCCTGCCCTACAACGTCAGGGCTTGGCCATGGGAAGTAGGGGTGCTAGTAGCGAGAGGGAGATTTAAAAGAGTGTATTAAAAATACTTTGCAGAACTGATACATTTCTTATCGTTTTGGGAAATGATTTAGATTTTTTTATTATTATTATTACGTGTATTTGGACTTACATTGTCATAGCAACTGTTCAATATATCTTTTCAATAAGGTTTAAATAGTATAATAATATAATTATTTACTTGTGGTTTGTATAAAAGGATTTAAGAGCTAAGTGTGACATAAACACAGTGACTCAGGTTCATGCTAGCTGACCAAATCTACATTGTTATAGTATTATTGTGAAATTAACTAATAGCACACATATTCACCTGAGAACTGATGATGTCTGTGTGTTACAGACCCTGGTTGTGTGCACTGAAATGTATATGACAATAAAGGAGTGAATCTCAATCTATTTACTCATTTATTTTCAATGGAGCCTAGGCGGAAGTTCAACTGAAGAAACTCATTGCTTTCCTTCATCCACCTGCGACAGCCAATCAGCTTTGAACCACACTTCCACAAAAGCCAATCAGCATCCAAAGTTCATCTTAAGGCCTCCGATACGCCGTCTGCTCCTGTGCGCAGGCGGCGGAAGCGCTGTGACTTCATCCAGATGACACCGTTTTAACCCACCTCCATCCCCTCCTTCACCATCGTAGCTAAAGCTTCATCAGAGTGTCAATTCTCCTTGTCTCATTTCAGTCTCACCAGTCCGGCAGAAGACTGCCATGTTGAGCCTGGTTCTGCCAGAGGTTTCTTCCCAACGGGGAGTTTTTCCTCTCCACTGTCCCTTCATGCTTGCTCATCATGGACAGGTTCTCTCAATCTGTGTTATCCAAACTGGACTTCCATCTTCCAGGTCCCTGAATGAAGCTCTAGTATCAACTCACGCAGTCCTCTGGATCTCCCCATAAGCTCAGCATACCGTCTCGCTAACCAGCAGTCTATGGACTGAACCAACTTCATCTATCTCCACTCCACCACCTGTTTCAGGCCTGGGGGGAAACAGCCCTATTCTTTGCTCCTGTTCATGCATATCTATCAAAATTAACCACTATGTTTTCTGCCGAGGTCTGAGCGCCAAAGACTAAAGTAATTGTATCAATAAATTTCTCCTAATTGTCTTTTCTCTTCATGTGAGTTTTTCAGACTAAATTGTATTTTAAATAGGCCTTTAGGATCACAGGTCTTTGGTTTAAAAAAAAAAAACTAAATTATTTTCACAGCACCCCCTGTTCAAAAGTACTTCCAGTCATACACTACATTCTGGATGGTGTTGCTCTATCTCAGTTTAAAAAATGTATTTACTCACCTGTCAGTGATCAGAACAAGCCTCTCCTTCTCATTGTTCCAATGGTCTACTCTGTAGAACAGACAACATTTTAATTTCTTTTGCACATAAGGATCAGACCATGAGCTGTGACGTGGGGGAACTGCTGATTAATCTGCAACTCCAGTGCTAATAGGAGCTGATTATAATGAGACAGGCCCAGGCAGATGGATACTCACTCCACCAGCAGCCAGACGCTCAGCACCTCCCCGTCCTCTGATGGGAGCGCCACAGTCCGGATGTCATTCACCGCCTGCTCGATGGTACCTGGCTGAGATCAGCATCACATCCACCATCAGCATCACCTCAGAGAAAGCTGCATCTCTCTGTTTGCTTTATTCCTGCGCCGCTTTACGATACAATACGGCTAATTTAATAAGGAATCTATGCCGCTCACCCTGAACACGAAGTAGTCCTTGACTTTAGCTTGCATGGTGGGGTTGTGGACATGGAAAGGCGTGAGCGTCTGTAAGGGGGGGCAGCAGGCCACGGAGGCTGCGTGTCCGAAGCTCCGTCCGTGGGCCTCCGGAGGCGTGAAAGCAACCTCCACCCCCTCCTCTGCCTCTGCGGGGAGGAGAACCGCAGCACCCGGGCTCTCCGGGTCCATGGTGTCGTTCAGCTGAAGCATGGCGGAGGAAACGATGTTCGGGGAGATTTTCTGACAATTAACGTTCAATTTCACTCTGAAGAAGCGGAATCACCCATAGTGAACTAAGAGTGTTTTGATAGTGAGAGGGGGGTGAAACAATGAAGCAGTTGCGACTGGCTTCACTTCCCCTGTTTAATGCCTTCCCCTTAAAGGGAACATCCTTCCAACTCACTTTGAATGCGACTCATCTGATCGATCACTGTAGAAGTGCAATGTTTCATAAAAAACATTACATTATAATTCTGCTGTAACCATTTTATCTTTAAATGTATAATCACATTTATTTCTGACAAACTGGTCCAGATGTTTTCAAACATATTGAGAAAATCATTGTTTAATCAGTTAACACTTAAGATACTTGTTCCAATGTTAATTGAAGCTGTAACCTTGTAATTATGAAATATCAGTAATCAATCTATTCATATTTTTGTGATAATTTATATGTGTTTTATCTAGTTACTATACATTTAAAAATAACACAGTATTATTGGTATTACTATTGATAAATAATACTTCAACTTCATTTTGTACATGTGCACAAGCGCTCTGCTTGAATCCTAGACCAACACTGCCCTCTAGTGGAAACTTCTGGCGTTGATCCATACCGCTGTAGCATTATCCTAGTGGTTTTCAGAATGTTATTATGACCTATTAAATAATGGCAGTATTCTATAATCATTGAGTACACAAACATAATAAAACAAGGGAACATTAAATATACAATTTTATGATCATTTATATATAAATACTTTTGTCTGCTGCAGCAACTACATGTAATCATG